GCAGAGCGCAGACAGACAGACAGAGGTCGGGGGCAGGCAGAGGGCAGGAATAACTCCCACGGGACTTGGCCTTCCCCCTGGTTTTTCTGAAAACCCCTGAAGAAAAGGGAGCGCTGAAAACTACAACCCGTTAGATTTTGAAAATATCTGCAGGTCTGCACTCAGCCGGCTCTGTCCGATTTCTCCGTGACGGTGAGAGTTGGCTAAACTCGTAGCTCCCATGAGAATATACAGAGGCTCTGGGGACTGAAACGGGGACCTGGACCAGGGGTCAGAGGTCATGTCATCTTCGAAAGATGGAATCACTGTCTTTTGACCTTTCATCTCTCCTCGTGGTTGGCAACAGCGGGCTCAGTCCCCAGTGTGGGGCGTGCAGGAGGCAGCTGATCAATGATACTCTCTCATCATGGATGTTTCTCTCTCCCTCTCCCTTCCTGTCTGAAATCAATAACAAAATATTTTTTAAAAATCATATTTTAAAAAGTAATAAACAAAGTTCACCGCTTCCCAATTATCTTACTCCGTGTTGCTACCACCTGTGTTTCTGAAGTTACTTATAACCGTTACCTCTGTGGGTGAGCTGACGGCAGCCTGGTGCCCGCCCAGCGAGTCGCACCAGCAGCCAGGAATGGCCAGGTGGGTGTGTGGACGTCGCGGGGCCAGGCAGGTGCAAGGGCTGGTTTTCCTACAGCAATGGGAGCGCGAAGTGGTTGGTGGCGAAGTAATTGCCTATTTTGTCCTGGGCCCTTTGAGGGGCACCTGATGGGTATCAGCTCGTGTGCCCTTCACAGCGACCGGCACGTACCAGCTGCCGCCGGGCACGGGTGCTGACTGAGTACTTGTTTCTTTGAGAACATACTGTGCGAGTCTCAATCCTACGCCATCCTCCGTCACCCAGGGCCCCGCCTGCGCGCACACGCACACTTCTGCACACGTGTGTTTCATGCATCATTACACTAGCAGTAACCACAGCGTGTGACTGAGGACACACTACTTGGACTAGCTTAGCTTCTTTTTTCCTTTTGTTAATCCTTACCCGAGGGTATTATTCCATAAGAGAGTGGAAGGGAGGGGGATAGACACAGAGAGAGAATCGAACCCGGGACCCTTCAGTCTGCAGGCCCTCTATCCACAGAGCCAAACTGGCCAGGGCAGGCTGGCTGAGTTTCAAACTTGAAGTAATCAGAGATGTCACTGACACGGGGGGTGTCACTGACACTGGGGTGTCACTGACTGGAGGCCACTCTAGGGTCTCCCCACGTGGTCTTGCAGGACCAGGAAGGAGTCTTTGGAGCCCGGGAGGAGCCGACAAGGCGGGTGCATTACAAGTTCAGACCCGCTGGCCCCTGAGGGCTCATCAGTGAGATGCTTGGCCCCTTGAGGTCTACTGACCACAGGGATGGATCTTCTGTCAGGACTATGGCTCTTGACACTAAATCAATGGCAATCAATAGCCACTTCTCCTTACTGCCCGGCGCCCAGTTCCCCAAGGAAAAACCCAAACACTGGTGCCCGGCCAGCAGCCACGGACGCCGACACCGGCCACACGCGCTCCCGTGTGCGGTGGCCCATGTGCCTCCCGGGCGTGCGTGCCCTGCTCCTCAGGACCCTGAACGCTATGCACAGGAAACGCCTCGGCCCCGACATGGGCCTGTGTCCGCGTTGTCACGGGACCGAGAGGGAAAGACTTTTCCAGAAGCAACGGAATGAGAGCAAAGAGCAGTCTCCCCCAGAGGAGACGGTAAAGGGAGGGGGAAGCCCCCGGAGGCTGAGCCAGGCAGTGACCGCAGCCTGGGCAGGTCTGGCCGTGACTCGGGGGGAGGGGGGCCTTGACCGCCCCGGGCTCCGGCGCTGCCTGCGTAATGAATGGGGTGAGCCGGGCGAACCCCGGCCTCTTCCAGCATCTCACCCCGTCCCCGCTCTGAGGTCCCCGCTCCTCTCAGAGCCTCACTTCACTTCCTTCACCAAGAAGGAAGTTGTGTAACAAGAGCGCCCTCAGCTGCTGGTAGCTGGGAAGGAGGGGTCGCCAATGAGTCTGTGATTGCCCAAGTCAATCTGCAACCTCAACAGCCCCCCGCCCCGTGGAAATCAGACCCAATGATCACAATAAACCGACGAACAAAACAGACCCAGAGACAGCGAAGCATGGGACTGACGTGTTTCCGAGAGAAAGCAGGGGTGGGAGAGCTTAACCAGCGAACTTGTACGCATACGTGCAGAGCCCAGGGACACAGGCAATAGTGTGGAGAAGGCCTGGGAGGGGCGGGGAGGGGGGTGTCAATGGGATAAAAAAAAGGGGGGGACACCTATAATATTTTCTTTTTTAAAAAAATGTATCTTTTTTGATTTTTTTACAGAGAGGAAGGGAAAGGGATAGAGAGTTAGAAACATCGATCAGCCGCCTCCTGCACATCTCCTACTGGGGATGTGTCCGCAACCAAGGTACATGCCCCCGACTGGAATCAAACCTGGGACCCTTCAGTCCGCAGGCCCACGCTCCATCCACTGAGCCAAACTGGTTAGGGCCAATACTTTCAACTATATACATTTTAAATAAAGACCTCCCCCGCCCCGCCCTCCGGCAAATTATCTTAAAATTCCAATTCAAACAAAAATTAATATCTTAAAAAAAGAAAACAGCCCGGCCGGTGTGGCTCAGTGGGTGAGCATTGGCCTATGAACCAGGAGGTCACGGTTCAATTCCCGGTCAGGGCACATACCCGGCTTGCGGGCTCCATCCCCAGTGTGGGGCGTGCAGGAGGCAGCCGATCCATGATTCTCTTCCTCTCCCTTCCTCTCTGAAATCAATAAAAATATATTTAAAAAAATAAAAGAAACCAAAGTGGGCTTGAATGCCTGAATACACAGCTAGCTCCCAGCACAGTCCACGCCCACCCCCAGGTCACGGCGGTGAACGTTACCAGCAGCTCGGACGTGCCCAGGACGTCCAGGGTGAGGGACTGCATCCGGGAGTAGTGCACGCCCAGCTCGCGGTGGATGCCCGAGCACTCGATGCAGGTCAGGATGCCCAGGTTGGTGGAGAGCCACGTGGGGTCTGCGAAGGGTACAGGGGGCTTGGAGCCGGCAGGAAGCAGAGGGCCCAGGGCCAGGACCCTCCCTCGCAGTCACCGCACGTGGAGTTTGGAGCACCAGCGTGTTCTTGACCCTTGATGCAGGCAGGCCCGCATTCCACCAGAACCCTCCCACTTACACTCAACACACACAGAGGCACCCGTCTGTCCTCTCCCTCTCCTAACCCCCACCTCCCTGTCCTGCCATTCATCAGGTGACGGGTCAACGAGGGACAGGACACGCGCCCTCTCCTGGCTGCGCCATCACCGACCTGGTCACACCAGCCGGTCTAACTACCACAGGGGGAGCTGACGGAGGTCACGCGTGCCTGTGTGTTCACAGGTGCTGATAATCACGAGGACACACTGCGTGCCGAAGCCACGCTCTGCGCACAGCACTCCGGTAGCCATCAGAGCTCACACTTGGAGCGCGTCAGCAATGCCAGTGCCTTTCCTATACCCGCTCCCTGCGTGCACAGAGCCGCGGAGGGAGCAGGGTGGGTGCCCGCACGCTGCCCAGAAGGGCCTCACTTGGTGCTGCAGGTGGGCACAGAGCCAGACAGACGGCTGTCCGCCCTGCGCTGGACTCGCACCTGTGCTCCTCCGCAGGGGGACCGACACCCCGGAGAGTCCTACACTGTGTGTGGCACATAGTAGGTGCTCGAGAAATGCCTGACAAAGGATGCTGGATTCACTGAAAGGGGGGATTCAGAGTAAAACTCCCTCGGGCCCAGCAGGACAGCTCTCTCTGGAACCGCTCGTCGCCCTTAGAAGCACACAGTGGGTGCACAGCACAGCCGTGGTCCCTGGTCACCGTGGAGTTGTTTTTAAAAAGCTCCAGTTATGAGACATTTCTTCACGTCAGGGAATGCCGCGGGGCTGCGTGTTCTCCTTCCTGGACCTCCTCTCTCTGAGCTGCACCTGCCTCTGGAGCGCGTGTACCTGTAGACTAACTATCTCAGGTTCTACAGCAGCAATGTTGTCTCAGCATTTAGAACAAGAGCGCGCGAGGTGTGGCTTGTTTACGCGCGTTTTCTAGCCCAAACTCTGCCCTTCTCTTTCCTCAAGAAAAAGCACCGTCCACTTCCCACCACTCCCTTTCGGGTAAGACCCCAGATGCCACCAAGGAGAGTCGTAAATGGGTCCCCGACCCCATGAGCTCATGCCTCAGATTGTCCCCAAAGACAGCCTCTGGGCACCAGGAGCCTCCTGGCGCGCGTCTGCTCTGCACCCTATTTTTGTTGTTGGTTTTTACAAAAAACAGCCACAGAATTATCGGGAAAAGGGGACAGCCCGCTCTCGCCAAGCCTGTCTCTCTCACGCAGAACAGGCCGCTCTGTGCTCCCCTGACCCCCAGCACCCCGTCTTCCTGAGAAGAACGAGTCGGCTCGCAAACCTTTCCACGCTCTGGCTGAAGCCTACGGTGACGTGCTTGTCCACTAGGAAGGAGCCCCTACAGCAGCCGTGGGCAAACTACGGCCCGCGGGCCGGATGCAGCCCGTTTGAAATGAATAAAACTAAAACAAAAAAGACCGTACCCTTTTATGTAATGATGTTTACTTTGAATTTATATTAGTTCACACAAACACTCCATCCATGCTTTTGTTCCGGCCCTCCGGTCCAGTTTAAGAACCATTGTGGCCCTCGAGTCAAAAAGTTTGCCCACCCCTGCTCTAGCCACTGAGCAAAACCGGCCAGGACTCTCATTGATGTTTCTATCCCTCTTCCCCTCTCCTTTC